TCTAAAATGAGTAAACAAAATGAATCAAAGTAAAAACATGCCAAAATAACATGTTTGAGTTGCATTGCATGTGTTTGGATCGGATGTTAATCCAAACATGAGAAACGAGGGGCAGTTCATACTCAAAGTGATGAAATGTGCCTCATTTCTTGGTCGCCGTCCCCCTTGATTGTGCATGATAGGGTGGCGGCCTCTTGAGTCTTGTGTGTTATTTGTGCATTCATTGACTTGTACAAACTTGGCTTCTCGGCCATCGTGCATTGTCATGCTCAGTTGGTAGCCCGAGAGTCGAGTACCACACTCCTTTGAGCTTGAGAAATGATAAGGAGGGTGGTTGTACACACATACCCTGCAAATACCTTGCTTTGCCCCTTTTGTACTCTGTTTGCAACAAAATTAGAGTGTGCAGAAGCAAGTGGCCGACTGACCAGTGGATGTGGCCTACAGCCCCTTTAAGTGGCTGACAGTTCTCAGCCTCAGACGTGGTCCAAAGTTATTCTGGTTCTGGAGCAGAAACAACCTGGAGATTAGTTCGATGTTTAGGAATCAAGGCGAATGCAAACAGAGGTAACCGGTGGCAAAGCGACGGATTTTTGGGGGGAAGCTGATAAGCATGCATGCATCCCTCGTCCCGAGGCCTTTTAACTATTTTGCTTAGCTGGTTAATTCATTGGTTCTGTACTTAAATAGTTAATGTGCTGAGCTAGTTATTCAATTGTGTTGTAATTAATTAGCTAGAATAGTTAGTTAATTAGTTGGTTTGTAATAGTTAGCTTAATTAGCGTAGCTAGTTAGCTCTCTTTCATTCGGACCCTCCGTCGCGAGGGTAAATGTTGTAATAAGTGTGCGTGCGTCTGTGTGTGTGAATGTCTTCCAACCCCATTTCTTTCTCCTTTTTACTTATCAGCTTCCGATGGTTAGTTTTAGGGCATGTTTCAATTAGCATCCTTATGCCTACATGTGTGCATCATTCATTTGTCTTGCATGCACCAAGGCTCGACGCATCATTCAAACTGCATTGTATTTTAATATACTTACTTGAATACGTGTTTCAAAGCATGTTATCAAGTGTTGCATTCATATGCCATTTTAGATAGCCGAGCCTATTTAGTTGCATTTTTGCATGTATTGCATTAGGCATTTTAACATAGCTAGGATCATGCATGTTTTCTAACTAGTTTTCTGTTTTGGTTCGGAGTACACTGTAAGTGTTTACATTTTAGCATCCTTGCATGAGTATGAGTGTTGCCATGACAGCATGCTTACCATAAGGCTATTTGCTTAAGTGCTTAACTACTTGAATGCCTGTGGATGAAGGATTGATTGCTTGAATTGGAACAATTCGATGATTGTGAGTTTTAAGCCCACTTGAGGGTGGCAAATTCACGCTTTAGCCTACTTACGAGTAGCACTTTCAAACCATTTTCGAAAAAACGAACATGAGTTGTTTTGTTCCGATTCTCGTGATTGAGTCTATACTTATTTGCTGTGCGCATCACATAGTAAGTTAGCTAATAATCAGAATAAGAACACATGTGTTTATAAAAACAACATATCATGTTTAGTAGAGGCCGATCCTTTGATCGGGCGAGCGGGGGTGCTCATTTCAGGACCTTCCCCTCTTGTACCCAAGTTCCGGAGCCGAGGCAACTTTGATGATGACGGACAGGTAGCCTTAAGCACGAGTCAGAGTTTCCTAAATTTTCCAAAATAAAATATTTAGGTGGCGACTCTGTAATCTGGCAAAACAGTCCATGTTTGACGCTTTTTGATTAAAATCGATTTTCCAAAACGATTTGTCGGATTTGGACTCTTTGGTGATTTATCAGTCTTACATTGCACTTTGTGAGATTAGATTCAGAACCGTGACAGGAGTTCGCACTGTAGTAACTAAGAACCCAATTCGCGCCCTCTCCAAAAAGGGGGGTGCGCGGAGAGAGTTTGGGCGGTCTACAACAAGATATTTTGGCAATAATGGTGTGTGCGGGACTTTTCAATGAAGACTTTTTATGCTTGTCCTTAATGCATTAAAGTTTTATTATGAGGAGATTTTGACCAAATTTTCCGAATAGACTTTGATTTATATATTTTAAGGACCTAGTAGACACAATTGATAGTTTAGAAACTAAATAGATTTTGATTCATATACTTTAGGGACTAAATAGATTTAATCGATAGTTCAAGAATTAAATAGATATTTTGAAGATAGTTTAGGGATAGAAAGTATAATAAACTCTTTTGTTAAATAAAAAATTTTGACAATAAAATATTTATAATTTATAAAATTATAGGAATCAAATTACGTAATCAAAGGTGCATATGATACGAGGTCTAACTCACTACTCTGTTGTTTCATTCTCTCGTCGGAGACTAGAAGAGGTCGAGTCGACCCATTTGTGGCTATATCTTTCTGGGTTTCCCTCTGTGTGTGTGTATATATGTGGGAGCCGAAAAAAGGTACACTTGAAATGGCAAACAAGGTATATCTAAGCCTATCCGAAAGGTATATCTAAGACGAAAAAAGGTACACTTGAAATAAAAGGTACACTTGAAATGCCAGGTACAACCCAAGCCCACTGGGCTTGAAGTCATTGCCCAATAGACACGGAAGATAATGCAATAAACGTCGAATAAGGGGTACTTGTGTCATACGTTAGAGCCTAGTAAATCATGAGAGTTAACATGATCTCATTAAGTGGGACCAGGTTGTCTCTTTCCAAAAAGCATAGTAAGGAGATGGGTCCTGACAGAGTGATGATGAAGGGCTAGGCTACATGGAGAAAATATCAAGAGGAATGATTCTATAAAATGGAGAGGAGGACTGGTATGTTCTAAAACACTAGCACTAAAAGAAATAACTTACTCTTCTTCACAAAGAAAGTTAACTTGCTCGTCTGAGTACTAATTCCGGCACCATTGACCGAAGCCATTATTTTGTTTCTAGTGACACTTCAAGGATCCCTCGAAGGCTTGTCTAGATCAAAGGAGTATTCCAAATCCACTTCCCCATAATTGGCGACATCTGTGGAAATATAAACTCATCTATGGAAGACCTAACTTAAGATCCTTCGATCATTGGAGACAGTGTTCTACCAGGAACAGTATTCAGTCTAGAAGACACTCCTGCACGAAGGTCTTTGAACTTTGACCCAACAACTCCTTCTTTGCCTTCAACCTTAGTGGAAGATGCCGTGCAAACCTTGATAAACCAAGCAAAACAGAATGAATAGCGTTCAGAGAATATGGTAGTTGATAATGAGCGTTTACGCCAAGAATTGACAAAATCCCTCCAAATTGCACCACAGTGTGAATAGGGTCAGACGCTAAGAAAGACAACCATGCAATAGTATCATCCCCAGAAGAATGATGATAGTAGTAGTACATCAGATTCATTAGACGAACCCAGAAAGTGAGGCCGATTAGATGCCTTTAGCTCGTCAAATGGAAGTCCACAAGTGCGATGCGGGCGTAAAAAGAGAGACGTGGATTCAGATTTAGAAGACAAGCATGATCCTTTCACATGACGCATAGCCAAGGCCATTTTACAGAAGAAGTTTAAAAGCAATGTCATTTACTCTATACAATGGAAAGTCAGACCCTACAGATCATGTTCGTCATTATAAGCAAGCAATGACACTGCATGCAGACGACGAGGCACTTATATGCCGAATATTCCCCAATAGTTTGGGACCGCTCGCCGTCAAATGGTATTACAAGCTTGAACCGGCTTCAATCGAGAGTTTCCATCAACTCCAAAAATCCTTGAAGGCCAGATTCATCACCAATGGGACTCAGCTGAAACATGCAGCCTCTCTGTGGGAAATAAACTGGGTGAGACTTTGCGTGAGTACTCAGTGCGTTATTGGAAGTGCTTTAAATTGGTAGAGGACGTTGCAATTCGAGTCAAAGCCGAACTGCAAGCCACGGAATCGGCAGGGCCTATCCTGGTACAGCCACTGACTACTGCACCACTAGATAGAACACCAATGAGAAGGAGCCCAGAGCCAAGAGGCCGATCAAGAAAGGAAAATTGTCGTGATTCGAGCGGACGGAACGAACAATATCATGTGCAAAATCGATGCCCTAAGCTGTCAGAGAAAAGATACATAGAACTGTTTGAGCCGATGAGTAAAATTCTGCCTAAAATCCAACATTTGCCTTTCTTCAAATGGGCAACTAAGATGTTCGGGCCCCCGGGCATGAGACGGAGAGACTAGAGATACGATATCACAAAGACCATGGGCACGTCACTGACAAGTGTTATGCTCTAAAAGATCATTTAGAAGAATTGGTTCAGGGTGGCCAACTAGCTAAGTTCCTTCTTAAAAGGGCTGCCACCATGTGTATTTGTTGTACGCTCCAATTTGTCTTCACTCGAAGTAATCCACATGATATACAACTTACTCCCAACAAAAAAGGTTAATATAATCTAGGTGCAATAATCCTCCCAACCTGGCTCTGAGTCCAGTGTATTAGCCAAACGACCACGGTTGTCGAATGTAATCAACTTCTCAAACGTCGATCTCAAAGGGGTGACCATGCCTCATGACGATGCTCTCATAATCGAGTTACAAGTAAACAAGTTTGCCGTTGGGCGAGTCCTGATTGACCAAGGGAGCACCTCTGAAGTAATGTACTACAAGACGTTCCTTAAGTTTGGCTATACGGATGTAGATCTCATGCCGGTCGACTACCCTTTTTTCGGCTTTAATGCTAATCCGAAATACCCCCTGGGTACGATCGTATTGCTAGTGTGTGCAGGCACCAAGACGATAGATGTTAAATTTCTAGTCGTTAAGCTTTCATCACTCTATAACATTATCATGGGCCGAACATGGCTCCATACAATGCAAGCCATATCGAGTACTTACCATTAGCTCCTTCATTTCCCAACTCAATACGGTATCGAGCAAATCTGTAGATCTTAGAAGTCGGTGAAAGATTGTTATCTCACAGCCTTGATAAAGAAACCAAAGGAACTTGAGGTGAATTCAATTGAGATGACGGATCAGGAGAGTCTTGAAGATGTTGGGATGATCCCAGCTGAGAAAGTAACAAAAGATCTACATCGAGTGATAATTAATGATGACCTTAAGAAATTATTTTTTGTCGATACAAGTCTTAGCGCAGCCGAGTTGCAAGAGCTGATTTCTTTTCTCCTTGGCAGCATCAATGTTTTTGCATGGTCACCTTATGACATGCCAAGAGTAGACCCAACCATTACTATGCATAGCTTGAATGTTGACACCAAAGCTAAGCCAATCGTTCAGAGAAGTTATTGTTCAGCTGTTGAACATACCGTGGCCATAATTAACGAAGTTGACAAGCTATTAGAAGCTGGAGCAATTTGGGAAATTACCTATCCCACGTGGTTGTCTAAAACTGTTGTGTTAGAGAAGAAGACCAGGTCATGGTGTGGACCCGCCCCGAACGTCTCGACGCTCCACGTGCGAAAATGGCGCGGGATTCCGTTTTGTCCATTGGGCTTATTACAGTTCAGATTCAAATGTCACGGTTCTGAATCTAATCTCACAATGTGCGATGTGAGACCAATAAATCACCAAAGAGTCCAAATCCGGCAAATCATTTTGGAAAACTGATTTTTATAAAGATGTGCCAAACATGGATTGCTTTGCCAGATACAGAGTCGCCACCTAAATATTTTATTTTGGGGGAATTTAGGAAACCCTGACTCGTGCCTAAGGCCACGTGTCCGTCATCACCAAAGTTGCCTTGGCTCGGGAACTTGGGTACGATTGGGGAAGGTCATTTAATGAACACCCCCACTCGCCTGATCAAAGATCAGCCTGTACTAAGTATGATATCTTGTTTTTGAAAACACATGTGTTCTTATTCCGGTTAATTAGCTAATCTTACTATGTGATGCGCACAACAAACAAGTATAGACTAGATCGCCTAATTTGGAACAAAACATTGCATATCATTTGAAAACGGTTTGAAGTTTGTTACTCGCAAGTAGGCCAAAATGAGGATTTCAATGAATTGTTCCAATTCAAGTAATCCAACCTTCACCCAGTATGCTTTCATGGCAACATTAACACATATGCAGTATGCTAAAGCGTAAACATTCACAGTGTACTCCAAGCCAAAACAAAGAACTAGTTAGAAATCATGCATGATCCTAGTTCATGTTAAGATGGCTAATGCAACACATGCGAGAATGTAACCAAAATAGGCTCGGCTATTCTAGAATGTCATGTGAAATGCAACTTGGTACATGTATTCAAATTGGAATTGAAATACAATGCAATTAGTATGATACGCCGAGCCTGGTGCGTGCAATACAGATGAATGGATGCACGTATGCAAGCATAAGGTATGCTAAATGAAATATGCCCTAAAACTAACCATCGTAAGCGGTTAAGTAAAAGGGAGAAAGAAATGGAGGTTGGAAGACATGCCTCACACACACGCACGCTTATTACAATAATGCGCCCTCTTGAAAGAGGGACCGAATAAGAAGCTAACTAGCTAATCTAAGCTAATTAAACTAATTATTACATAACAAATTAATTAACTAATCCTAGTTAACTAATTAGTACAAAACGAATTGAATAGCTAACGCATTAACTAATTAAAGTACAAACCAAAGCAAAAGCTAGCTATCTAAGCATGGCAGCTAAGGAAAGTAGTAAATCAGGAGCCTCAGAGGGAGAGGAATGCATGCAAGCCCGGTCACCTCGTTCAGAAATCCAATGGGATGCCCTGATTTGCCTCTGTTTTCATCTGTCCTCAGAACTCTGCACCAAGCTCCAGAAAGATGAAACTCCACCTAGGGAAACCTGTGGGAGGGTGGCCGACCACTTTTGGGCTCTTCAGACACCTGTTGACCACTTTTGGTTGTTGAAGAACCAGAAAAGTAGTCGGCCAGCTAGTTTTTCTGGCTGGCCGGCCAGTTGCTGCTACTCAACTACAATTTGCTGCAACAGAGGGCAAGAAAGGGCATGGCAATGTATTTGCAAGATATGTGTGCACAACGACCCTCCCTATCATGTCATGAACTCAAGGGGGTGTGGTTCTCGACCCTCGGGCCACCAATCGCGCATTTCAATGCATGATGGCCGAGAGGCGAAGTTACACAATTCAATGTAAAATGAATGCACAAGTAAACACATAAAGCCTAGAACTCTATCATGTATGATCAAGAACGTCGACGATCGAGAATTGAGGCACGTTTCATCACTTGAAGTATGAAATGTCCCTCGTTCCTCATGTTTGGACTAACACCTATTCCAAACAACAATGCAACACATAACATGGCATACACAATGCGACTCAAGCAAACAAACATGGGAGGGATAAGCATGAAAACATGCAATTAACATACTAGCATACACAATACGAATGAACTATGTGGCATACACAATGCAATGACTAACATGGCATACTCAATGTAATATGATCATGGCATACACAATGCGAATCAAGAGCATGGCATGCGCAATGCAAACAACAACATAACATGCACGATGTGATGTGACATGGCATACACAATGCTCAATGGGCTTAAACCGAATGTGGGTAGACCTCAGCCATGCCAAAATAGAGGCCATAATGCTAAAATGAAGACACTGAAAACACGTACAAGCATGCATGCCAATTGGCTCACCAATTAAGGCACTAAGGTGCAACTCTCAAGAACACTTAAAGAGTGAAAAAAAACATGGAAGTGTAGCAACACAAAGTGCCACCAAAGAGTCCAAATCCGGCAAATCGTTTTGAAAAATAGACACAAGTATGGCCATGCTAGGGTCCTTAAAGCATGACGCTAATAAAGAGACTACAAAAGGAGAGGCAAACATGGCAGCAAATGCATGAACTAAGCATGGACAGAGCTCAAGTAGGTCAAATAAGGACATAAACATACTGAAAAACGAGGGCCCAAAGGCTAGGCAAATGCAAGCAACACAAGCTAAGGCATAAACTAGGCAAAATGCATAACACTCGAAGGCACTTAAAGCATGATTGAGGTAGGAACATGGCAATGTTATAAGCTCTGAAATGTCATGTTAAGTGATGCCAAATCATGTACACAACACAAATGAAGCATGCAATGGTGCTCAAAGCTTGAGGCAAGCAAGAGCATTTGTACTACAAGTATACAAAACATGAAGCATGTGACCAAGGCAACCCAAAATAGTCCTAGAACATGTCAAAATGAGTCTAAAGCATGCATGGAAGGAAGCCAAAACAAGCTCCCATGGAGGGCATAAGGCATGATGCATACAAGGCAAATAATGTGGATTACACTACACCTATTAAGACCAAGCATGGAATGACTTAAGCAACAAAAATAAGAGTTATATCATGGCATAATAACCTCAAAAATAAGAGCTAAGGCATGAAGGCATACGCAATGATTCATGTTAAGGCATAAAGGGGCAAACCCTCCAACGCATTGAATGAATGACAAATGTGAATGCATGGCCATGAAACATGGACTGGAATCACATAATAAATGATGTCAAATCATTAAAATAGTCCAAGTAATGCATACTAGTGGACTTGATGCACAAAGCTAACAAGCTAGAATGAACCAAGGCTATACAAAGCAAGTCATGCATGGCCAAAACAACTAAAATTAGACCTTAAACATGGTAAAATATGAACAAAATCTTCTTTAAGTTAAGCCAAAAGCATGCTAAAAAGACATGTTAAAGCATGATGCATGTTAGGCTATTTCATGGAATTGCATTACAAATGCATGTAGCATGCAAGGGCCAACCAAACCAAACCAAACCAAAACAGAGTCATGACATGAAAAAACATCACCAAAAACATGCTGAAATGGAAAGAAAACAAGCTAGAATGGCATGCTACTTCATGAAGCATACAAAGCTAGTTTGTGTGATTTACACTACAAGTGTATTAACCATGCATGGAGTGACCAAACCAAGCAAAAACACAGCAAAATAACCACAAATACAAGCTAAGATATGACCAACAAAAGCTTAACAAAGATGCTCAAACATGAGGCATATGATGCAAGTAAACAAAATACAAGGAGACACCAAAACCATCTTTCCACCGTTGAAAATCCTCTAGATTTCAATGGTAGAAAGGTCATGAAAGGTTTCAACAAAGGCCTAAAGGGATGGCTCAAAATAAGGCCTAACAAAGCCTAAGAGGGGGTAAATCACCCCAAATGAAAAAGTGACCTTAAACAAAGATCTTAAACATGCAAGAATAGAACTTTTTCTAGTTAAGAGTTAAGCTTTAAAACGTATGCAAGAAGGGCTAAAAGCTTAAGCAAGAATGAGGGATTTAAGGGCTAAAGACTCACCCTTGAAGACCTCATTTATAACTACAACTTCAGCAAGTTTTCCAAGCTCAAACCAACCTAAGAACACCAAAAACAACTTCAAGAACCCTTAGCAACACAAGCAAGGTGTTTGAGTGTGTGTTTGTGTACAAAAGTGAGACAAATCTACACTTTAAGGCACAAAATAAGAGAGAAATGAAGATGTATAGATATAGATTATATGTATGGCTCAAGAAATTTTTTTGAACCTAGAGGAGGGAGGAGGAGCCTCCCTCCTATAGAAACCAAAAGGCAAAGCTTCTTGGAGAAGCTAAGCTTCAAACAAATCCCTCCATACACGTGTATGGAGGATAGCTCTAATGCCCTCCAGCTGTGTCAGCTGGAGGAAAATATCTCTAAAAAGGTGCCAAAAAGCAGTCGACCACTTCAAGTGGTCTTCCAGAGCAACAACTAGTCAGCCATAGGTGGGAGAGGTCTAGAGCATGAAAGAAGACTAGTGGTGTGGTGGTCGACCAGAAAATGTGGCCTAAGGACTAAGCAAGCTAGTTATTCGACCAAAAAACTGGCTGGCAGAAGGAAAAGTGGTCTCCAAGGAGAAAAGGTGGTCTCCCACCCTTGTACCACCTTCCAAACAATGAAAACAAGGTCCATGTCAAAAATGAACCAAGACGGATGCAAAACGAGGGTTCGGGGGTCAAAACGCGCGACCAGAGGCCCCGAAAACTGACTGTTAGGCATCGAAAATGGCATGTGACCACCGAGGCCCCGAAAACTGACTGTTCGCAAACCGAGACAAAGCACAAAAGGGCCCTGAGGTCCGGGGGTAAGGTTCTCAGCCGAAACTCCGAAATCTCAGAACGAGCACAACATGCACCATCACCAAGCGCTCAATCGATGACGTCTGAGTCTTAAGGTCGGTCAAAAATGGGGTGTCTATAGTAGCCCCTCTTTGACAAAACTCGAAAGTCATAAGTGACGGGAGTGAATGTCAAAGCCCAGAGATGACCCATTTTTGACAAGG